CCACCCTCACTCTTTAAGTTGCTTTAGCTACTTTGTCTTAGTCAGGAAACTAATTAGCATTCCCAAACTGATCATCAGTTCATGGTTCTGCTGTGCCCTCCATCTTCCACAGATGGCTGAAGAAACAAAAGCAGACACTACAGGCAAAATGTTTAGTAACTGTGTGTTACAATAGTGCTGGTGTCATAGCTTGTGCTTGTGTGTCCCCCTCAATGCGTTTAACTCATCATCTCTGCTCCTTTCATCTTCACAGTGTTAAGTATGTCTAGGAACAGGACTGGTAACTCACTAAAATGGAACTGAACCAACTCTGTTGTAAAGTCCCAAGATTCTGTGGTGATATTTTATTTGTGCTGAAATATAATGATATTTTATTTGTGCTGAAATGTGGTGATATTTTATTTGTGTTTTAATAAAGCTTGCCTGGAAATCAGGGGAAAAGGCCAGCCATTTTAAGTAAACAAGAAGTCAGGCAGCACACACCCTTAATCCAATCACTTTTCAGGCAGGGTCTCTGTGTGTTCAAGGTCATACTAGGAAACAGAGCCAAGCATGGTGACACACACCTTTAATCCCAATACCAACCATAGAGACTTGGAAGTCTGTACAGACAGACAGACAAGGAAGTGAGGTAGTTGGGCTAAGATAGCCAATGAGAGGGCAGAACAGCAAGGCATATGTGCATGGGTAGACAGGAAGTAACTTGCATTTGGAAGCTTCAGAGTTGGTGAGGTAAGGTTGGCTGGTGGCTTTTCCTATTTCCTTGATCTCTCTAAGGCTTTTACCCCTATATTTAGTTCCATGTTTTTTATTTAATAAGACCATTTAGAAATTTGTCTACAAGACTGTGGTGGTATTGTGTTCACCAAAATATTGTGCACCCTAATAAACTTATCTGAGGTCAGAGACAGAACAGCCACTAGATACAAAGGCTAGAAAATGGTGGCATCACACCTTTAATCCTAGCACTCCAGAGGTAGAAATCCCTCTGGATCTCTGTGAGTTCAAGGCCACACTGGAAACGGCCAGGCATGGTGACACACGCCTTTAATCCCAGAAAGCCAGCCTTTAATTCCAGGGAGTGGTGGTAGAAAGCAGAAAGGTATATAAGGCGTGAGGACCAGAAACTAGAAGCATTTGGCCTGGTTAAGCATTTGGCTGAAAAGGCTTCTAGCAGCAGTTCAGCTGAGACCCATTCTGGATGAGGTCTCAGAGACCTCCAGTCTGAGGAAATAGGATCAGCTGAGGATCCGGCAAGGTGAGGTAGCTGTGGCTTGTTCTGGTTCTCTGATCTTCCAGTTCACTCCAATACCTGGCTCAGGTTTGATTTTGTTAATAAGAACTTTTAAGATTCTGCTACACAAGATTCTTCTAGAATTTTTCTGTCAAGACAAAACTTGATTTTTAAAGTCAGAAACCCTTACTCCTGACTCAACCCTTGCTCAATCAAGGACAGTCACTGTGTGATTGTGACTAATCCACTCATTTTCATAGGGCTAAATCTTTCTCTCTTAACAAACTTATGAGCAGTTTTATTTCTTACACAGTTTCCATGGTTAGGTTGGGGCAGTCATCACAATTAGCCGGCAGGAATTTACATGCTTTTAAAAGGGTGAAAACTAGGAACACTCAGTTTGAAAGCTTTGGTCTAAATCAAAGAACAGGTACAAGATCAGGAGTCAGAACAAGCCTTTCCTCCTTTCAAGGCTCTTTACGTTGGGTGCCGGGTGACAGTGATAGACAGCTAAGTGATAGTGGTAGACAGCTGACTACAATTGCCTGGTTCAGATTGTGCTCAGGCCATCTTCACATCACACACACATACACAAAAACAAACAAACAAGTAAACACCATGAATTGCCTCAGCACTAAAGTAAGAGAAATGACCCAGGCTTCTGTCAAAGTTCTTTCCAAGCCTAGCTCTGTTAGCCAAAAATAATTTGGTTTATTAAGAAACAAAAGACTCTTGGTAGCATAAAGATGCCAGAGCTTTGTTCTATAAATAGGCAGGGCTCTGTTCAAGAATGACTGTGCCATCTGCCCTGGTAATAGACAGGTAATAACCCTATTTATTTTCATGAAGAGACAAAGAGCCAATGTCTGAATTTCCTTCATTCAGGGAGGCTGTACATAAAAATCTAGAGAAAGGAGAGGGGGGGGGAAAGCAGCTGTGAAGGAGTAAAGTAGAAAATACTGACAGCTCTTGGCACAATGCTAATCCAATAGACATTTTAGGTTTCTACATTCTCCTCAGTGTAACTGGTTTTCACTGTGTTACCACTTGTGAGAGCATCCTCTGGAAATTGAATTTTATTGCCCTCTGTTAAAAAGAGATGATGAAAGTGATACAGTTCTCATTGCTCTCTTCCATGGGTTCCATATTATGTGTACTGGTACTTCAGTGCTGTTTCCATCAAAGACAGGAATCATTTTCCTCCCCTTGAGTTGGAGTTGGCCTTGTGGCTTGAATAGGTCACCAGAATGCAGTGTGTCATAGTGTGACAATTCCCTGACTGGTGCTCACCAGGACTGTGTGTTTCTGTCCTCCATTTTGGGATATTATCACTACCTTAAAAGCAGACAGCTGGTTTGCCCAAGGGAAATAAATATATAACATAGAAATAACACTATATTTCCAAGTGAGGTCATGGTAGACCTTCATTCAGCCAGCTCACCTCTTGCACATACAAGCTCACTTATCTCACCTGTGTACTTGTGAGTAACACCTGTAACTAATAGTTTGGGGCCACTTGTTATGCAGCAAGACACCAACTGATACGTATGAACTAAGTGAATTTTATAGTAGAAGGGGCTGTAACTAGGGAGGTAAATGACAATCTAGTTGCAAGAGAGAACTAGTCTAGAAGTACATAACTTAGCCTTAAGCCCAATTATGCTAATACATATTCTTAGAATATTTTGGGTTTGTCTATAGGAAGAAAGAAGACACCAATCCATTTTATTTCCAATTGTGAATGAATAGGTAGATTGCATGAGATAATGTGTTTGCCAATGAAGTCTGCAACTAAGAGAGTGTAAAATAATTCCCAATAACAAGGCACCAGTGAATCACTTTGTGTTGAACTTCTTATCCTAAAGCTAATGAAGATGGGAAAATATTTTCATATCAGGGAAGAAATGAAGCACCTGTAGGAAAGAGACATTTAACCTATGAAGAAAACAATCTATCTCATCTTCTCTTGATCCAGAGGTCTCTTCTCCCTTTCAGTCATGAGTGTCTGACAATCCCTCTCATCACAGTTGCAGCAAACACCAGGTAAAGCATCCTGTAGAATGTGTGGAGGGACATAGTTCCAGCATTTCAGAATTTTATGCTAGAATCAAGAAACAAGGAAAGTTTTTTTTTTTTAATGGAAATAGCATGCCAGAAACTGTGTTGTGATACAAAAGTTGAAATTATTTAATTGGGAAGCCCGAGGCACTTCTGTACCTGTACTACCTATTCTGTGAGTGAGTTATGGCAGATGAGGTCTTTCATGTTGCTACCATATATATCCATTTACTCGATTATAATTAGGAAATTAACACTATAACAACAGAAGATCTCACTAGGAATTACGCATAGAGCAGAATATAACCCAGTTCAGAAGGTGCCATTTAGAATTATTGTCTCGTGTGTGCATTTTAATAAGGAAGGAGACACTCTAGCTGGCATCCTCCCATGTCCTTATTAAAGCTCGTCTGTTTCCAAGTGAGAGAGCATCCCTCTAAAATAACTTGGGAAATCGAAAAACTCAATTAAGATGAAAACTATCTATCTTTTTTGTGAACAAGAGACAATGATCTGGGTCTTTGTTCTCAGTGTTGGGAGAGGGGAAACGTAACAAGAGAAGCTGAAAACTTCATTAGAGGTAAAAGAGACCATCTGAAAGAGGGGTTAGTCTGAAGCAGTGTTGGTACAAAGTATGCTGGATTCAAACACTGCAATACTGGGTCACACACTCTACCAGAGTAGGAAAGTAACTATCAGTACAGCTGCAAACCCTGCACTCTATAATGGTGACTTGCCTACAAGATATACTGGTGCAATAAAGACATAAACATTGTGAGAATTACCAACCACTACCTAATTGGATGTGAGGCTCATTCTTTGAGATAGAACCCATATCTGACACTGCTTGGGTGGCCATGAACATGAGACTGGATAGGCTATAGGCCTATGAGAAAACCAAGTATTGTTGTTCTGCTAAAGGAACATAGCAATAAAAAGACTCCTTATAATATTCTGCTATCCCTGTAGATCAGTGCCTTGCTCAGCCATCATCCTCTTGCAGTAGTTGGAAACTAACATAAATACTCACAAATGGACAAAGTATGAAGACTGAAAGATTTGGAACACTCAATCGTAAATGGGATGTCTTCATCAAACTCCTCTCAGGACCCAGGGAGCTATGTGGAAGAGGATGTGGAAAGATTATAAGAGCCAGAGGGGATGGATGACTCCAAGGAAACAATGTTTTCCAGACAACAGGACTGAGGTACATATAAACTTACAGAGACTGTGAGAGCATGCATAGGGCCTTCACAGTTTCAAGCCAGACCAGGTCCCAGCACACCCTAAACAAAAAGCTATCTGCAACTGGCAGCCTCTTGCAAAGGAAAAATTAATTTGTTCCAATGGAGTCTCATTGGTTATATTAACCACACTTAAGGGTAGGTTCCTTGCCAAGCAGTAATTGGCTAATACAAAATGAGCCTAATGGTATTTTTGTAGACATTTTGTCTCATTTTGCTTTGTTTAGGCATTTTTATTTTTATCTTTCTGGTCTTTGACTTGTATAGGTCATTTGCTTATATTTTATGGTTTCTAATTTTTATGGGTTTTGGTGTATGTATATGTTGTGTTTATTTTGTTTTGTTTTTTTTTTCAATTCTGTTTGTGTCTGTGAGAAGAGTTTTCCCCATTTGTTTTCTAAAGAGAGAGAGAAATTGTAGATGTATCCAACCTTCTTATTAAATAATAAACACAGAACCAATGCAAAGAAGAAAGCCAAGAGGTCAGAGCTAAGAGCTAAAACCTTACCCTTCCTCCTGTGGTGGTCCTACCTCTCCGAACCAGAGCTACCCCTGTGTTAAAGTCTTTATATAGAGTTCCTGTCCTGCCTTCTCATTGGTTGTAAACCCAACCACATGACCGCCTCCTCACAGCCTGTTTGTATAGGCCTCCAGGTTTTCCATGATTGGTATTAAGATTAAAGGCATGTGTATCCAATAATGGCTGTATCCCTGAACACACAGAGACTTACCCAGCTCTGCCTACCAAGTGCTGGAATTACAAGCGTACGCTACCACTGCCCTGCTTTCCTATGGCTTGCTAATAGCTCTGACCCCCGGGCAACTTTATTTATTAACATACAAATAATATTTTAATACAAATAAAATATCACCATATTTCCCCTTTTCTATTTTAATAAAAAGGAAAAAAAAAAAGAAAAAGCTTATAACTAATATAAGAAAAACTATATACAAAAGTACAATAACTATATACAATATATACAAGTAATAAATACCTAAACAATGTCTAGTCCATTTGTATTTGACAAATTCAGAGAAAATAATTTCATTATCTATCCTATTTTGGTAAGTCCAAAATGTATCCTAATTAATCTTCAACTATAACTAACTAAACTTCAACTATAACTAACTAATCTTCAACTCCCTCAGAGACCCAAGAAGGAAATAATATTAGCTAACAAAAATAAAAATAGGAAGTGCACATAAGCAACTTCCAAAAAATTTGTGAGTTGACAGAAACAGATAGCTGTCTGGACAGTCACCTGAGGTTTCTCCGAAGTGCTGGGGCATCATCTTCAGCCTATAGGCTTAGCATATCTGACAGACTCATTTGTGAAGTAGGATGTACACAAGGTCAACAGTTCAACCTCACATTGAGTGAGAGTAGTCCATGTACCAGAAACACCTGAATTCCACTAGTGTCATGTCATGATTCAGGATTTTAAATTCTGGAAATTGTTGATGGTTTTTTAATTCAGCTGTCCATTCTTCTTGGCTGTGTATATATGGCTTCATCTCAGCATCCCATTCTTCTCCATATCCCTCCATCAAATGCCAGTCTACTATTGAGAGGCGTGAGCTTAGTTACTCTTCAAGAATAACTGTTTCAGCTGCTGTTCCATTGCACATCAGAGGCCATCGGCCCACTGCCTGTTCAGCTGCCTTCGAAGAAAAGGGCACTGTACCTTTTTCGAATTGCGAAGGCCACTTCAGGGATGGTGCCCATATTGTCCTGGCCTCTGAAGATGCCTTTTGATAAAGCCCTAAACACACTTGTTTTGGCAAGAATCAGTAATCCTTTGTTTTATGTCCTGTCTGTCCATTTTGTCCTGTTGATTCAAGGATACTTTGTTGTCCAGTGGCTAACTTTTGCCACAATGAAAGTTAACTCCATATGCAGTTTCTTCAATGCCCATATTTTCTCTGAAGTAGATTGGTACTGCCAGGAGCCGACATGTCTCATAGTCATAACAAAAAAGAAAAATTTTCTAAGTTATTAAAACATTTTAAATGCCATATTCTGTAGATCTCTGAAGGGTTTGAAGATAACCTGTCTATCTAAAATATATCTACTCAATCTTGAAAACATACCTAATATAACTACAAGTTCTATTATAATATCTAACTACTAACTTTCATTTCTTTATATCCTAATAGTTGGTAATAACATTCAAGGATCAGAAAATTGCATTACATTGTTAGATGAATGGTACAATTAGAAAAATATATATAACATTTTCTAACAATATCAATTTCAATATATATAATTTGTATACAATATAAAACAATCCAATCCAATGTAAAGTATTGACATTTTTCTTTTCTTTCTTTTTTTTTTTTAATAAGAACCTTAAATCTAATCTCCTTTGCTTAGCCTTTTTCCTAACCCTTGACAACAACTTGTAACCAACCCCCCTAATCAATGAAAATTATCCCAGACCTAAAACCCATTAAAAGACCAAAAAAACCAACCGCCCCACACCACCTCTTTGGGAATGTGGGCGTCGTATTCTTGAAATTGCTTCCTGCTGGGTATGGGCGAAGGAAAACAAAAACCTTTCCCCAAGGTTTTTCGGGGATGTTCCTTTTTGGCAAGTTATTATCTGATTAAATGAAAAGGCATGTGTTACTGGTGTAAGTTAGTTTAAATTGGATGTTTATGATAGTTGATGAACTATCACCTCCTCTAATTAAGAGGTCTCTCTTGTTCAAATCGAACCTTTATCAATTTTGATGGTACCCACAGCTTATCTTCTCCTGTAGAAATAAAAGCAAAACCTCGTCCCCAACGTAACACATACCCTGGTTTCCATTCTGAGGTCAGCACATCCTTAAAGTATATAGGTTGATTTAATTCTGTAGTTTTTTCTATTATCCAGTGTCTCTCTGCAGCTGTTGTTCCTTTCTCATTGGCATTGAGAAAATTCAAAGTTAATAGAGCATTATGTAGTCTATTTCTGGGGTTTTTTGTTACTCCTTTTTGTTTATTTAGCATATCCTTTAGAGTTCTGTTTGATCTTTCTATAACTGCTTGACCTGTAGGATTATGTGGTATACCTGTAACATGGTTTATATTATAATAAGCAAAAAACTGTTTCATTTTAACAGAGACATATGATGGAGCATTATCAGTTTTGATTTGTGCAGGTATACCCATAATGGCCATAACTTCTAGCAAATGAGTGATTACAGAATCAGCTTTTTCAGAACTCAAAGCAGTTGCCCATTGAAATCCTGAATAAGTATCGATAGTGTGGTGTACATATTTCAGTTTTCCAAATTCTGCAAAGTGAAACACGTCCATCTGCCAGATTTCATTCCTCTGAGTACCCTTTGGGTTACATCCTGCTGGTAATGGTGTTTGTTTGTAGAAGGAACAAGTAGGACATTTCTTTACTATTTCTTTGGCTTGTTGCCAGGTTATGGAAAAATCCTTTTTTAAACCTTTACTATTTACATGATGTTTTTTATGAAATTCTGAGGCCTCCAGCACATTTCCTATCAATAATTTATCAATCTCATCATTGCCTTGTGCTAGAGGGCCTGGCAGACCAGTATGGGATCGGATGTGAGTTATATATAAAGGATGACTCCTTTTTCTGATTGTATCTTGTAATTGAATAAATAATGAAGTTAATTCTGAAGCATCGTGGATAAATTCTGCAGTCTCAATATGTAATACTACTCTTTCAGCATACTGAGAGTCAGTTACTATATTGAGAGGTTCTGAAAAATCCATTAATACCAACAGAATAGCATACAATTCTGATTTTTGAACTGAATTATAAGGACTTTGAACCACTTTACTTAAATTTTCTGATTTGTAACCTGCCTTTCCTTGTTTGTTGGCATCTGTATAAAATGTACGAACTCCAGATATGGGTTTTTTCCTCACAATTCGAGGCAAGATCCAATCAGCTGTCTTTATAAGATCAATTCTATTGCTTTTGGGATATTTGCTGTTAATTTCTCCCAAAAAATTACTACAAGCTTTTTGCCAAGCTTCATTTTCTATCCATAATTTTTCAATGTCCTCCTTAGTTAAAGGTACAACAATTTCTGCTGGGTCTATTCCTGCTAATTGACGAAGTCTCAATTTTCCTTTCCAAATCAAGTCAGAGATTTTTTCCACATAAGTTTTTAATTTTTTATTTGGTTTATTTGGTAAAAATATCCATTCCAATATAATATCTTCCCTTTGCATTAATATTCCTGTTGGGGAATGCCTAGAAGGCAAAATAACCAAAATGCAATCCAGCTTTGGATTAATACGATCTACGTGCCCTTCATGTACTTTCTTTTCTACCAAGGCCAATTCTTTCTCAGCTTCAGGTGATAATTCTCTTGGACTGTTTAAGTCCTTATCACCTTCTAAGGTTTTAAACAAATTATTCAGTTCATCATTTTTTACCCCAACAATAGTTCTTAGATGAGAAATGTCTCCAAATAATCTTTGAAAGTCATTAAGAGTCTGTAGTCGATCTCTCCTAATTTGCACTTTTTGAGGTCTAATTTTTTGAAGTTCTATTTTATATCCTAAATAATTAATAGAATCTCCTCTTTGTACCTTTTCTAAAGCAATTTGTAATCCCCAGCAAGGCAAAATTTTCTTTACTTTTTCAAACATTCTTTCTAAAGAATCTGCATTTGAATCAGCTAATAAAATGTCATCCATATAATGATAAATTATAGATTTAGGAAATTTTTTACATACCACTTCTAATGGCTGTTTTACAAAATATTGGCACAAAGTTGGGCTATTCAACATTCCCTGTGGGAGAACCCTCCATTGAAATCTTTTAACCGGTTGAGAATTATTATAAGTAGGCACTGTGAAAGCAAATCTTTCTCTGTCTTTTTCTTGTAAGGGTATTGAAAAGAAACAGTCTTTTAAATCAATAACTATGAGAGGCCAGCCTTTTGGTAACAGAGTAGGTAAAGGAATTCCAGATTGTAAAGAGCCCATTGGCTGAATTACTTTGTTAATTGCTCTAAGGTCTGTTACCATTCTCCATTTACCAGATTTTTTTTTAATAACAAATACAGGAGAATTCCAAGGGCTGGTTGATTCTTCAATATGATGAGCATTTAACTGTTCTTCCACCAGCTCTTGTAAAGCCTGGAGTTTCTCTGTTGTTAAAGGCCATTGCTGAACCCATACAGGCTTGTCTGTTGACCATTTTAAAGGTAGAGCTGTTAATGTTTTTGGAAGATTATCAGTTGTTGTGCCCTGTTCTTGTATGACATGGATGGCTGGTGAGCACTCATTAGAATAATATCTTTTAATATTTCTCTCAGAAACATGTACTAATTTATGATTTGTTTCTGAGATTGGAGGGATATTAATCTGAGTATTCCATTGTTGTAACAAGTCTCAACCCCACAGGTTCATAGGTATGCTAGCCATATATGGTTTTAATTTTCCTTTCTGTCCTTCTGGACCTATACATTCAAGCCATCTTACACTTTGTTTCACTCTAGATAATGTCCCAATTCCTAAGAGTTGAATGTTTACCTCCTGAAGAGGCCAAGTTGGATGCCAAAATTCTGGTGCAATTATGGTAATGTCAGCACCTGTGTCTACCAGACCAGACAACAAAACACCATTTATTTTTATTGTTAGTTTTGGTCTTTGTTCATTAATAGAAGTTTGCCAAAAAATTTTCTTTATGTTTTTTCCTGTATTTCCTATTTTCTCTGTTTCATCATCTCGACTAACATGATTTATTCCAATAGACATTTGGTTATTTAGTTGCTTTGAGTAGGGGTTTCCTCTACAACTGCAGGAAAGGTTTGAACTGGATTTACTGTGGGGGCCTGCCTGAGGCCCCTCTGGGAGTTTCCCGAAGCTCGAGGCAGAGGGTTACCCTGTCTGTCCCTTGTTGATCTACATTCGTTGGTCCAGTGTTTTCCCTTACCACACCTTCTGCATACTCCAGAAGGAAGGGGCATTCTGTTGCCAGTGTTCCTTGAATAAACATTATTTCTAGGAATGACCTGTTTACAATCCCTTTTCAAATGTCCTTGCTTTCCACATCCAAAACATCTAACATTGCTCAAACCTTTTGAAATTGCTTTTCCTACCCACATATCATCATGGTCATAAGCCTCTACATTAACTGTATCTCTAATCCAATCTTCCAAAGGTGCAGATCTTGCCTTTAACGGCCTAATTATTCTTTTGCACGCTGCATTTGCATTCTCAAAGGCTAAAGATTCAATTATGATCTGACTAGCCTCTGAATTCGGGACCATTTTTTGTACTGCTGAAGTCAATCTTTGTAAGAAATCTGTGAAAGATTCTTTGGGGCCCTGTATAACCTTTGTAAATGACTCAGTTTTTTTTTCCTGGTTCTTCAACTCTGTCCCATGCATTTAAAGCTGCCGTTTTACATAGAAGTAGGGTTTGGACATCATATGAACATTGTGTTTGTACTGAAGCATATTGGCCTTCGCTAATAAGCTGATCCTGGCAGACTTGTATTCCGCTATCCCTCCATTGTCTTTCTATATTTTTAGCCTCATTACTGAACCACATTTTCCACTGGAGATTTTGTCCGGGTTCAAGAACAGCCTGTGCCAATTCCCGCCAGTCCTTTGGTATAATCCTATTACAAGTTGACCAGGTGTTTAACATTTGCTTTACATATGGGGAGTGCATGCCATAAGATGCTATTGCCTCCTTAAATCTTCGTAAGTCTAACATTTCAACTGGAACCCAAGTATTTTGTTCATTCTCTTCATCAGGTAGCTGCTGTACGGCTACTGGATAAATTAAGGGTGATTGTGTGAAAACTGGCTTTCTTTCTGTAACCTTACGATCCAATTTTGAAACAACTTCACTATTTATTTCTTCTGTCTGAATTTGAATTTCTCTATAATTCATTTTTACCGGTTTAACAAGTTTTTCTAAGACTGTTATCCTGGCACTTAAGTTGACGATCTTTTTAAATAGTAAAATGAGGATAAGAAAAGTAATAAACTGAATAATTCGATCAATATTAATCTTTTCATATAGTTGTTCCATTGTCAGAGTGCCTAAAATTTCAAACAGAGCCCAATTTTCTTCCAATGTACACATAAAGCCCATTTTTTTTTTTAATGTAGAAAAAAATTCTCTTTTAAATAGATATGTTAATTGACTTACCAAGTCTGGGTAGAACAGTAGAATCCCAGGGAATTTCACAGCCACCTGGTGTTCGAGGTGTGAATCCAGCGAGAGAGAGAGAGAGAGAGAGAGAGAGAGAGAGAGAGAGAGAGAGAGAAAGTGTAGCCAGCCGCTTGAGCCCAGTCAAGCCTTGGCTTTACAGGCAGGGACCCTGTTCAGCAGGGCAGGTCTGAGTTGTTTGTAGCAGTTGCAAGTAGCTCCAGCTGCGGGTCAGTCAGGCCTGGACCCAAGCTAGGCAGCCGGGCCGCCCAGGCTGGAAACCGGACCTGCCGCCAAGCCAAGCCAAGCGGTTTTTAATGAATTCTTGTCACATTGGGCGACAAATGTAGATGTATCCAACCTTCTTATTAAATAAGAAACACAGAACCAATGCAAAGAAGAAAGCCAAGAGGTCAGAGCTAAGAGCTAAAACCTTACCCTTCCTCCTGTGGTGGTCCTACCTCTCCGAACCAGAGCTACCCCTGTGTTAAAGTCTTTATATAGAGTTCCTGTCCTGCCTTCTCATTGGTTGTAAACCCAACCACATGACCGCCTCCTCACAGCCTGTTTGTATAGGCCTCCAGGTTTTCCATGATTGGTATTAAGATTAAAGGCATGTGTATCCAATAATGGCTGTATCCCTGAACACACAGAGACTTACCCAGCTCTGCCTACCAAGTGCTGGAATTACAAGCGTACGCTACCACTGCCCTGCTTTCCTATGGCTTGCTAATAGCTCTGACCCCCGGGCAACTTTATTTATTAACATACAAATAATATTTTAATACAAATAAAATATCACCATAAGAAATAAAGAAAGAAAGGGTGTAAAGTGGGTAAGAAGGTAGGGAGGATATGGGAGTAGTGGGGGGAGAGGACACTGTGATCATAATATATTGTATGGAGAAATTAATAAACAAAAATAAACATAAAAAGATGGGGTTACAATGGGCAGGTTCATCTAGAGACATTACCAACTAGAGCATAGAGTTACAGGGTGGAGAGGAAGGAAAGGCTAGGAGGAGCTCTATGTCTTGCTCATCCCAACTCACCCATTGAGAATGGCAGAAAACTTTCTCTCTTCTTAAACTGTCCATTCTCCAAAAAGTGCTCTGGGTTGAACTCATCTGGAGTGTCCCACTCTTTGGGGTCTCTGTGCAGTGCAGTTAGGTTGGTCAGGACCATGATTCCCTACAAAAGGCAGCAGAAAGTAAAATCTTAATTAAAAAATCCCACATAGACAGGTGATGATTCGCAAGCTCCCATGCCTGGCCTGAGATATTTGACATCCTGAACTTTCCCACTCTCCCCAACTCATTCTCTGTCAGCTAAAATATTCCAGCCATTTGCAAAGGTAAGTAGATCATGCTTTCTTAAAGAACATATCAACTTTATTAAAAGTTATTAGTATAGATCTGAGAAGATGACCTCAGAGTATCCATGGGGAGATAATGAGCCCATGGTTTATCACAGTTAGGACCATGGCAGCAGTATGATAGGATGTCTCCTTCATCTACTCTTCTCCATTATTTTCTGTATATTATCAAAGAGATAATAGCCTATCTCACTACAGTCAAAGACCCAGGGATGTATCAGAAAGTATTCCTGTCAAGGCAAATACATGGCACAATACCCAGAATCGCCAAAGTAAGCCTTTCACTCTTTTTGCTCAATCATTAATTAGCAAAGCTGGTCCACTCTTCAAATATCTCAAGTCCATTGCCTCCATTCCAGGTCCCACTGCAACCTTAGTGCTAGCTGCCATCTTTGCTTTCTAGACGCTGTTCCACAGTTTGAAAGCCCAGTGGGCTTTGCATATGACTTAGTTACATTGCCCACCCACTCATTCAAACTTGGAAAGCAGGTTTCTCATACCCTTAAATTCACTCTGTGTATTATCAGAGTCACTGTTCATTGTTCCCCTCTGACTGGGCTCCCACCATAGTTGTCTTCCTTTCCGATCTCAACCAGGCGATGCTGTAATGCTGATTGTTTTAGATGGAGTATTCCTTTGCATTTTGACACAAAGCTAATTCTTAACTCTCCTTCAATCCTCAGCTCTAATACCTCTTCCTCCAGAAGCATTCACCAATTCCTTCAGCTGCTATTCCTCATCCCATCTTGTCAGCATCACAGAGAACCAGAATTTTTTCCTTCCAACAGTCCTCGGGGTTTATAAGCAGGGACTCTCATGACTCAGGTATTCCTACTCCAGACCCAAACTTTGTGGGTATTTAATGAATATTCTCTTGATAATAAAAAATAATGTCGGAATAATGTCTATTCCGAGTATAGGTTCTGTATTATCTTATTATATTTCCATATAGAGTCTATGAATTTGGCTGAATACATTTTGTAGAAGCTAAAGCTGTGATTGGTTAGGTAATGTGCTTGTACAGTAGGAGTAAGTGAAGTCAACATTGGAAACAGGCCTATCTGCTATCAAGGCCATGCTTCCCCACGTCTGTTGAACACAGACGTTTAGATTTCTCAGTACCCAGGGAATTGATGTTATAGTCTATAGAAAGAGTTGGTAGGGTTTTTTGAAGATGAATGAATGGACAGAAAATATGCAAACAGCATTGCGAAAATTCAGACCTCAACTTCAAGCCATGAGCTGTTCAGTGATAAAGAGAACAGAGAACACAATGACTGCTCTCTCCCTCTTCAGCCAAGGTCCTCTGCCAACACTAGACCAGCAATACGTTGAGGTGTCCCATAGCAAACAAAGCCAGGTTTGGCCTAATCATACCTGATCTGGGAATCTTCCCTTCTCATCTCTTCATGACAGATTTAAATATTCACTAATACACATAGAGGGTTTTGGCAGAAATATACTTCTCTTCCCATTGAAATGATTTCTTGGGTCAGGAATATATGTCAGTTTTAAAGTTTAGAATCCCAATATGATGTCAAAGATGGATGGAGGATCTGAGGCTGAGAGAGTGGTTACCTTTGGCAGGTCAAATCCAGCCAACTTGGTGTTAACTGCCCCTTCCCTGGGAACATTAAAAGGGATGATGTTGCCTATTCTCTGCACCTCGTGGATGACAGCATTGGTGTAGGGCATGGACTCTCTGTCAGCTAGGCTTGGCTGTCTTCCATGCCCAATCACTTTGTCAATCTCAGCCTGCACTTTTTCTGAAAGAAAACAGGAGATTCTATTAATTTTAAAACTTTAGTGCTTTCTTCTAAAAATATAGAAGTTGTAGTCTGAGACCTGACCTGCTTTTATTTCACCTTAGCATCTTGGTTATAAATAAGTAAAAATTTTCTCAACCCTTCAAATATCTGTTTTAGAAAACTGTCAATTCAATAACTTTCTTTGACCTTACAACATAATCATAAATTTCCATGTATTCTGACCTGAATATCTCAGATCACCACAGGCAAGCTTATAGCAGTATCTAGTGAGGCTTCTGCAAATAAGCACCATTCACTGAGTAGGTTACAAATCACACAAATGTATCCCCCATAGTTCTAGAGCCTGGAATTTCTGCGATCAAGGCACTAGCAGTTTTCTTGCCTGGTAGACAACAATTTTCTATCTCTTAAGTGCCAAACCTTTGCTGTGTCCTCATGCCATGAGGAGAAATGAATCTCTTTGGTAGGCACTAATTCTTTTCACAAAGGTCAATCGTCTTCTATACAATCACATTGATAGAGTTGAACGTGAGCTTGGCAAATAGGACACAAAGGCTCACACTGAAGAACATCTGTAAACTCTTTATTTCTTTTTTTTTTTTTTTTTTTTTTTTTTTTTTTTTTTTTTGGTTTTTCGAGACAGGGTTTCTCTGTGTAGCTTTGTGCCTTTCCTGGAACTCACTTGGTAGCCCAGGCTGGCCTCGAACTCACAGAGATCCGCCGGCCTCTGCCTCCCGAGTGCTGGGATTAAAGGCGTGCGCCACCACCGCCCGGCGTACTCTTTATTTCTTAAGGAGATATGTTAGCATGAGCTATAGACATCAGTGTGTTGCGGGACAATATTGCTGGTGAAGATGCTTACATTCTTTGAGCTTCAGTTTTCCCATTTGGTTAGTGAGGATAAATCTGCCTTGTTCTAAGGATGTGTTGAGATTTACAGGAACTGTTATAATGATAACATTTATTCTGCAAGCTGTCTGCCAATACGGCTCCTCTTTTTCAAGAGTAATGTAAGTTGAACTAATTTTATTTGATTAGCTAGCTGCACATTTCACTTAAAACGAATTTGGAACTCTAAGCCCTTTACTACTACTCTACATATAAAAATTAATTTCACATAAAACTTATATAATATAAAATTTATCACTATTACCATGGTGACTTTTGAGGCAGGGTTCTCCCTGTGTGGCCAGGATCACCTTAAAATTTCAACACAACTGTCTCAAATCTGTCAAGTATTGAGATTGATAGTGTGGGCCACCAATCACAGCTCCTTTTACCATTTTTGCACGAATAATTCAATAACCTTTAATATGTTCATACTGTTGTACATGTTATTGTTGGAACTTCATTGTACAAAAAAGTCAATGTCTGGGTTACAATACCAATTTCCCCCTCCCTGCATTCTCCCTTCTGTGTGTACAATTCAACTATTATTTCAGTTAGACAGTATAGCATTTTTAATTTTGTGATCATCTTCTTTAATTTAGCATAGTGTCCTGAATTTGTGTAGCATCAGAATTCCTTTTCTGGAGCTGGAAGATGGCTCAGTGGTTAAGATTACTTGCAGACTTCAGCTCGGTTCCTAGCACACATGTGGTGGCTCACAGCTCACAGTTCCAGGGGATCTGAAGCTTTCTTCCAACTTTTGTAGGTATGAGATAAATATACATACAGGTAAAGCACACACATACAGGCAAAACACTCATACACATAAAATTAATCTTAAAAAAATTAAAATGGATTTCTTACATCTGACTAAATTTTCTTTAGTTCTCAGGTATATTCCACACTTTATTTATTCATGTCCTATGGATACTCCGGTTTTTACCATCCCTTGACTACTATGCATGTTGTGAAGTGAACATGGTTGTAATTATATTATTTAAATCTCCTGATATTTTGGGGTCCCATTTTCAGGAGTCAAATCTGTATCCTAAGTGAGGTGATTTTTAAAAAATAAAAAAAATGGAGTCTTGGGATAGCAGATGGCTGACAGAAGTGCGTGCTGAGCTGAGCTAAAACTGTAGGCTTGACATGTGAGGGAGACAACTGAGTCCTGAACGTTGTCCTGTGACCTCCACACTTGTACCATGGCACTCTCCTGCACCTCCTAAAATATAACAAAACATTTAAATGTAATCTTCATGAAGAAATGCATTTTTAATGGTGACTCAAGAAGCATACAGGTAAAGATAGATACATTATTAAATATATATTTCACATTAATAAAGAAAGAAAGTTTACCCTGGGGAGATAGTTCAGTTGATAAAAATCTTGCTTGCAAGCATGAGGACCTAAGTTTGGTCCCTAGAATCCATGTAAAAAAAAGTCAGGTGTATGGTGATATTTTATTTGTACTGAAATGTGATTTTATTTGTATGTTAATAAATAAAGTTGCCTGGAAGGTCAGAGCTAATAGTAAGCCATAGCGGAGCTGGGCGTTCATGGTGCACGCCTTTAATCCCAGCACTTGGTAGGCAGAGCTAGGTAGATCTCTGTGTGGTCAAGGATACAGCCAGCATTGGAGACACACACCTTTAATCTCAATACCAACCATAGAAGACCTGGAGGTCTGTACAGACAGGCAGTGACGAGGTGGTCATGTGGTTGGGTTTACAACCAATGAGAAGACAGAACAGAAAGTCTATATAAAGACAAACAGACAGGAAGTAGGTCTCTTTCGGAGAGCTCTCTTGGCTGAAGAGGATTGCTGAAGCAGGAAGGGTAAGGCTCTTAGCTCTGACCTCTTGGGCTTTTATCTTTACATTGGCTCTGTGTTTCTTATTCAATATGACGGTTGGTTACTTCTACACAGGTGTGATGGCAAAGGCTTGTAGTTGCCATGTGCTGCTGGAGATGCAGAGACAAGAGGACCCCTGAAGCTCAGTGGCTACATGTTGAATTCTAGGCCAATGGGAGAACTTATCTTGAAAACAAAAAGTGAACTGTGATTGAGGAAGGAGGGCTGACGTTGCTCTGTGGCCTAAATATGCATGTGCACATATACACGTACATACATTCATACACAGTCACTCACACAAAGATGAAATAAAGGTTATGGACAAATCTGACTTCACCACATTGGTAGAACTATTTCTCTTTTCAATTTTCAACCTAGGGCAAAAAAAAAATGTACTAAATTGGCTTTATAACCCATGAATAAACTGTTAGCCATACTTTGAAAAAAAGGTTGAGGTTATGAAAAAATGGTCCCAACCACTACCTGCTAAACTCTTCTAGAATGTGGAGGAAGAGAAATTATGAGACAGACAATTCTTTGTTATGGCCAACAGGCAGTGGGGAGAAATGAAAACAATGTACAAAGCTCAGTCATTGATGGAGGAGCATTGTTCCATCTCTGGAGGAAAAAAAATGACAGCATTTCCCTAGTCAGTAAATTCTTAGAGAAATTTGAAACATCTTAGAGATGTGATACCTTAGAAGATTCTTCTAGATGTGGAAGAAATTGGAACAGTACTTTTTTGGTAGAGAGAACACTTGATGTCATGACTTAGAGACAAGAATAAAGACAGTGACAAAATGACATGTAACACAGGAAAGCTACCATGCAGGGTAGGTAGGGGTTGAGGATGGGCAGAGAGGTGCATATTACGTGACTTCAGAAACCAAACTAAGGCATTTGTACGGTATTCAGGGAAATAGGAATGTATTGCTAAAAAGGAAGGAGGACACCTATGGATGCTCCTAGAGTAATGACACTCTTTCCTGGGATTGACTACAATGTCCCTTGACTTCTTCGTTTTGCTCTAGACTTTATGCTTTTTGAGTACATAGATGCTATAATATTGGTACTCCTGTGCCCATCATACTCCTTGTAAAACATATGGAGGATGTTCCCCATCCCAAGTGCACATCACCTCACAGCCATTCTATCTTTTCCCACCCCACCATGCCATCTTCTGGTCCCATCTGAGCCACAGATTCCATAATCACCATTTCACCTTGTCCAGGTATATTTATCACATACTCACCTTGGACTTCTGGGTAAAGGGCCATACAGAGCAGAGCCCAGCGTAGTGTCGTGGATGTTGTCTCTGTTCCAGCAAAGAAGAGGTCCAGAGTGCTGCAGATAAGGTTTTCTTCATTGAAACTTGTAGTAGTCTTATCTGGGTACTAGAAAAGACAGTGCATGCTTGTTTATTCAGAGGGTCTGAGTCAAGACCCTAGGGTATGTATTTGGAAAGATTCATATAAACTAATAATCCTTTTGACCTCATCAGGAAGCATTTTCTTATCCTAAGTACTGCACGCTGACCAAAACCTTATGGCACTTGGGTAGATGAAAATCTCAACTATTTTCTTCTGATTATATTTTTGGAAACTTTTTGTCCAGTGGTAAGAAAATGGGATAAAAATCATCTTTGACTTCTAGTATCAGCCATATCACTAAGTCACTACTTGGCCCAGGGCACTCACTTAATGTTTCTTTTTCTTCAGTATTTTATAAGAAATACACCTTAACATGTCATTATCAATCATATGAGATACCACAGGCACACAGTTAATATTCAACAAATGCTTTTGTTGATACCAGAAAGAATCAAGTGATTCTCAACGGTCTCAGATTCTCTGATCTCACCATTCATCTTTCCAAGTCAAGACTTTCTGATTCCATCAGTTTTTTTTTTTATGACACATCATCATTTTTACCAGCTTCCTATGGAAGAATAAATTTGTTATGATTGATTTTAATACTGATGGCCTAACACCTATAGATGACAAATAATTATTCACTGCTTCCTCTAAAGAAAAAAAAACAACATTGCTTTTATCAATACTATTCAAGGAAAATGAAATAAGAGAAAATGAAAAATTACTATTCTTCCCCTGCTCAGAGGAGGAACCCATAATCCAACATATACAAGTTATGGCATCAATCCAGTGATGTGTACCAGTAAACCTAATGACATCAAGGCTGCATATTTTGTGATATGGTTTGGATCTGAAATGAAATTTCAGAATTACTACAAGCTCACTTTCTCAATGCTTGGTTTCTAGTTGTCTGAAGTATTTTTGGAGGTTCTATAATAATGGGGGAAGGAGAAGGAACTAGTTGGAGGAGTGACTACTAGGGCAGCATTCTTAAGGTTATGTTAGGACCCTGGATCTTGCCTTTATTTCTGATCCCTAATGCATCATTATGGAACAGATTTCACAATGGGTTTTTGACACCGTGGTTTTAGCTGCTCTGTCATTCCTTCTCTGTGGTGATGATGCACCCAACTCTCTAAACCTGTGAGTGAAAAATGAATCCCTCTTGTGTTGTTTTTGCCAGATATTATCACAGTGATACAAAAGTAACAAACAGATCCAACTGACTGCTGTCTAGCCTCTTGTACATTATTGAATGGTTTTTATGACGCGTCAGAAGGCCTCATCTAAATGTTAAACTCTTGCATTCAGCTGCACATTGCTTATATCTTGCAGTGGCGGATGAGATGGAGTCAGTAACTGGCCAGAGACCAACTTGTAACAAAATTGGACTCTGAAGTTTAATTGCTACTTTCATTTATGGTACCGCTCATTCACATATGGGTAAAAGCTAAGAAACACAAAAAGATAGACTATGAACTCTATTTCTAATGACCCTAACAATCCTGAATTAATGCTATCCTATACCTAATAAGTACTATACCCTTTTCATTTAATTTTCCTGTAGGGTATTAAGTAATGATTCACAGAGCTGTCCATCTATTCATCTCTGTGCATATTGCTTGATACTCCATAATAAACCTTGTATATGTGATTCATTTCCAAAAGGAAGATTATACAGTTATTCTTATAACAGGGAGATCAAGGTTCAGAATCAAAGAGATGAGATATAAAGATGGACGTAGTGATCAGGGAGAAACAGAAGTTACAATCTTGGTATTGAAGATGAAGGAAGAAGACATGGAGAAAGGTATCTATGCCCAGTAGAATCTGGAAGAGGCAAAGTAATGAGTTCTCACTATTTCCATATGAAGCTTGCCTGGCAAACAGGCATACTGGGAGCATGCAGTGCTAGGCGGGAACACATCTGTGCTGTGTCAAACCAATAAGCTCAAGGAAACATGCTGTAGGATCAATTGGAAACTATTAAACTGTTGCTTCCTTTGAAAGAAGAAGACAACACAGCAGGTATCTTTCCCACCTTTGTCATTTCCTTGAGGAAAGCATCAATGAAGTCTCTTGGCTCATCAGGGTCCCAGTCTTTCCGGTGATTGTCAATAATATCAGAAACAAACAATTTCAGTTTTTCCCAGTTTCTGAAAACTGTTTGGTGTGATCCAGGAAGATAATGAATTATCCTTGGAAAGATATTGTAGAGCTGATTGGAAAAAAAAAATAAGACAGTCATGGAGACACCCTGGTGCCACATTTCAAAACAGTCTTGTCTTTCCCTTTCTTGTCTTTCTTACAGTGGGATAGTGAAGCCTTCTTGACCCCGTTTCACTCTTACTCCCTACCCTCCACAGGCATTCCAAGTTTGTAAGGACTTCAATACTCTAAACTGAGTTGAAGAAGAGGCTCTAATTACAAGAGGGATGCACAAAAGAGAATGTATCAACCAATTAATTGTACATGATCTTGTTAAAATAGGAACAAACTGAAACACATGAGGATAGTAAGGTAAAAACAACTCAGAACTAGTGTGCTGAAGATCTTGCATTACTTTAGAGAGGATAAAATTAGTTGTCCTACCTCACAAGAAAACCTACAGACTCAACTAACCTGGCCTCACAGGGGCTCACCGGGGCTCACAGAGACTGAACCGACAACCAGAGAGCTTGCATGAGACTGACCTACATGATAGAGTTGTGTAGCTTGGTCTTCTAGTGGGACTCCTAACAGTGGGGACAGGGGCTGTCTCTGACTCTGTTAACTGCTTTGGGGACTCTTTCCTCCTACTAGGTTGCCTCATCCAGCCTTAGTAGGAGAGAAGGTGCCTAGTCTTATACAACTTAATATGCCATGGTGGCTGATATCCATATTTTAAAATAAAATAATTTTACATTTATTTATGTGCTTATTTATTTATTTATTTTGTGTGTGTACACCTATGCTCATGTGTCATGGTACGTGTGTGGAGGTCAGAGGACAACCTGAGGAACATGGCTCTGTTCTTCCACCCTGTGAATTCCCAGGATCAAACACACATTGTCAGACTTTGCAGCAAGAACCCTCATGTGCTGAGCTATTTTCCTCACCACACTTACTTTTGTTACTCTCTTTCATGCATTCATCTAGTTATGTTTATGCCTCTCATTTTTAGCAATAGACTTTCTTTTCTTTAGTTTATTTATTTAGTTGCATTCTATGCTCTCCTTTATATTTATATCTTGAATTTATCTTATTGGCTTTTAAAAAATAATACTTACACCTTAAACTTTTTATTCCTCTTCTTACACTGACTCTTGAACTTTTTTAAACTAATGTTAAATCTATTTTTGTCTCCCCCATATTTTAATTTTTCCTGTGTGTGATATTCTTTTCCTCCCTGCTTCTCCCTTAAATTATTTTACCTTATTTTTGTGCCCCCCTTACCTGTCACCTTTAGGTATCTCATTCATTTATTATTTTAACACTACATTAAATAATTTTGAAACTTTGTAGCACATTCAGTACTTTTGACATTGTTTCAGTTCTGTAGCCACTGGTGATATATGAAAGAGCTACAATTGAATTTATGTGTGTTTCTATATTTTGCAAGATAGGAAGTTGTTGCTGCTACAACAGTTTGTTTTCTTCTTCTCACAGAGAGGTATTATGGATTAAAAAATTCCAGAAATTATATCCAAACCAACAGCTGCAAAAACTGCAACATAGAAATACAAGAAACAGGGGCTGAAGAGATGGCTCAGAGGTTAAGAACTCAGAGGTTAAGACATAATTTCTAGGAAACATAGGTGTACCTGTGCTTCCAGAGGACGGGAGTTCGACTCCCAGTACCTACATAGCAGCTGCCACATGTATGTGGTGCCCTTACATACAAGGAGGCAAAACAATAATACATGTAAACTAAAGTTAATAGATAGACAAATGGAAAAAAAAAAGAAATACAAGAAACATGGAAAATCAAGGCAACAAGACTCCTGCATTTACAGGTCAGGAAACTGAAAGGGAGATCTGGAGAGACAAGGAAAAGAAGAGTGGAAGAGAACTCAAGGGGGCTGAAAATAGAATCCACATAAAAAGAGTACAATTAGTACACGTGATAGGAAAGCAGAACTGAGAATAATTGGGGAGAATGGGAACTAGCTGGGTTGGGGAAAGGAAGCAATAAGAAAAATTATAGTGGTACATGTATGAAGATATTGTGATGATACCCTTTGTTATCTAAATTAATCTAAAAAAAACACTTTAAAAACTATAAAGTTTATAGAACTGCAATGGACAGAGATAAGCCTGTGGTTGTAGAAGGGAAGTTTAGCACATTAGATGCTCTAACCAGTACAGTTATAGCAGAGATGCCTGTCATTTGTTCTGTAACTCCAGGTCAGAGGCAGTAGTGAGTGGGACACTTGTATAAGTGAAGTGTGACTGGTTGTGTGCTGACACTTTTTGGACCTGATTCAAACATGCGCAGTAGATCCTAATTATATGTTTCCTACTGTTACATTTGCAGTTTGCAAAATTAAAGTGCACTTTTTTTTTTAAAGTGCGCTTTTTTTAACTGAAGCAATTAAAACATTTTAATAATGACATGTAATTGATGCCAGGACAAATGGTACATCAAGAACACATCATTTAAATAAGTATAGATGTATACACGACCTCACACGTTTATAACAAAGTAGCCACATGACTGCTAGGAAACATAGGTGGATAACCTTAGGAATTAATTTTCCTTTAAAATTGTCTTCCTAGCCGGGTGGTGGTGGCGCACGCCTTTAACCCCAGCACTCAGGAGGCAGAGCCAGGCAGATCTCTGTGAGTACGACGCCAGCCTGGTTTACAGAGCAAGATCCAGGACAGGCACCAAAACTACACAGAGAAACCCTGTCTCGAAAAAACAAAACACAACAAACAAACAAACAAAAAACTGTCTTTCACATCTAGGAATATGGCTGAGACACCAGTAAGCTGTGGAAAATATTTGGAAGACTCTATGGATTGAGGGACACAAATTTGGACATAGGTTTCCCAAGCTGGGGGTGAAGTTTGAACACCAAACTATATGTCTGCTTATGAATCACAAGATTCACAGTACCAAGTGTTGATTGCAACATAACAATAGGACTCAATTTTGAACTTTGAGTTACGTTTTAGGTGTAGATGCAAATTCTAGATAAATGAACTGAATGGGTTCACATGAACACTTGTACCAGAATATCCACTGCAACTTTATTAACATCACAAATCTGGTAACAACTCAAAAATCCAAACATGGAGAAAGAATTACTAACAGATAGTCACACATTTTGCCAACCCTAGTCTCAGCTTAACAAAAAGCAGGACACACAGAAGAACATCAAGTAAGCTGAGCTGGTAAGTCACCACCACCAGCATGGGCATCCAGCAAATGTTGGTACTTCATTTAAGTATTAGAAATGTGGTTATTCTCATGCAAGGGTTTTGCGTATTATCAACAGCACTAAAATCAATAGATAGATTTGAATACATCTGTGTTAAACTCAACTTTAAGATACTATATTTTAACTTCAAAAGCCCTAAAATACAAAAATGAGGAGCCTGTCTGTTTGAATTAGTCCCATTTTAGTACCCTTCCCAAGATATGAAAAGGTCGAGTGCTTACCTGGCACATCGCTGATGCCTCCAAACATGTGGCCTCATCCAGTAGCCTCAACATCTCCTGAAACTGACTGTCCTGGTACTCAAAGCGCTCCCCAAAGGTGACAGAGCAAATGATATTGGAAACTGCATTATTGATATTGAAGTGAGGGTCAAAAGGCTGTCCTGGAGGTGGGGAAAGAGCTGAGTTGTTTAAAGATATTTCTATTTCTATTGTCTATAAGCAATTAACTACAAATGATAAAAGAAAACAATCCTCCAGCTGCCCCCCTCCCTATATAAATATTGGAGAATGAAATGATGGGCTCTGGCCACAGCACACACATGGGCTGACATGATCTAAGGTTTCTGTCAATGGCTGTAAAGTCAGATTGATGACCAGGATTTAAATAAAAACAATGTTTAATAACCCATTTTGTTCGCTAGGTTACAGCCCTCTAGGGCAGGGTCATAGCTATAAGTTCACTGTTCAGGCTTCAGTGCCTAGGCTTGGGCAAGCCCAGGACAAACATTTAGTAAGAATATGTTGTACAAGGCCACAACCCGCATCACCTGCCCTGTGAAATGCCCACCTCTCTCCTCTCTTATGGCCTCCACAAGGTGTCGGGATTCCTCCTGGATGCGCTGTTCTAAGCTCTTCTTTCCCAATCCAAAGTTCCTCAGTGTCATCAGGGCGAATCTTCTTTGTTCCTTCCATGTCTGGCCACTGGAGAAGATCAACCCTGGAAAGAAGAGATTCAGCATTATAGTATTATGATTCTGATCTAAAATTACCTGACAAATGGTATGGGCATGTGCACAATGGAAAGGAGACAGGCCAGTAAGGCACTTGGCAGCTGTCTAGAGTGACAATCCCAAAGCAAGGGAACTAAGATTTACTGGTTACTTAAAACATCAAACAACTTAGTAAACCTTATGTTTTACGTGATTTAGCACTTTCAGAAATTCCATATGCTTATTAACAATTATCTCCAGGCCCATTGCACCTGATGCAAAAACTGAAACACTGGGATAAAGTTTACTTCATAAAGAAATGTAGTTAGTAGAGAACAGCTGTGTATTTAAGTTTCAGTCTTTCTGGTTCCAAAGTCCATTGATCACACAAATCGCACAAATTCATGTTAAGCATATAACAGGAATGCACTCGTGGATAAGATGAAACGTGCTCTTTTAGCAAGGTAAGAAAGTTTTATAGAAAAGGTTCTAGATAAGACACACAGTAAAGAATGAGTAAATGACTCAAGAACGTAGAAAGAATGAGTATGGCACACACAGAGAGCCTAGAAGCATGGGGGAAGAATATTCTAGTGTACTCAGCAACCATCAATATCAAGGCATATACAATGAATGCTTCTGTCAATGAGGACACTTTCAGAGAAATCCTCAAATCCTTTTCATATAAGTCTTTGCCTCCCAATTGTTACTTTTGAAATGATAATAATAAGTATTCAAACCAGACTGTTATAGTATTGTCCAGAAGGCTAAAGACAACTGGGTGATGTCATTTAATAATGGAGTACAAGGAGTCATAATCAAGAAGAGCAGTATCAAGAGGATTCCGACTCACATCTATTTTCCTAGGACAGAGGGTTGGAATGGGAAAATAGAAGTGAGAGCACAGTATCTCTGCCTGGACATTCCATCAGAGCTTCAAGAGTTAGTGTACAGGACATGTGGTTTCTCCCAAGTCTAGAAGAGAGACATGGTAAGTCCTCCACTGGGTGCTTACATTCAGGGACTGTGGCATTCTGCTTCCTTGAAAGATGGCAATTCATGATGGGGTTGGTTTATGGGAGTGTTTGCAAGTTATAGACAGGAACCTTTAACATATCACAAGAATTACAATGCACAGCATATATTGCTCAAGGAACTTACCATTATTTTTAAAGAGATGTTTTCGGAGACAAGTGACAGGACGATTCAGAAAATTTGGCTCCAATTGAGTAAAGACTTCTTTGATTAAGGGCATGCCAGTTACAACCACTGAGGGTATATTAGCAAACTCCAAGCTTAAAATGTTCCCATATTTCTTCACAAACTGAAAAATATTTCAGTAGTTACAGTTGAGTGAGCCCATGTCTGTGTGTCCAGAGATGGCAGGCATGTGTATAGCCAATGGGACTCATGTTGAGATGTCCATAAAAACTGTTAGTGGAGGCAATGATCTTCCTCTGTGTAAATGTTTGGAATTTTTTTCTCTTCTTATATATTAAGTTCAATTTCAATACACACTAAGAATAGAAATTTCCCTTTACAAAATTCCTAAAGAATTCAGCAAATATGAATTAGGTATGCAACTGCCCTATTTCCCTAGAGGAAGGCATGAGGATATGTGTAGCAACAAATAAGCAAAGTCCTGAAAGCATCCTGAATTTTAATGAAGTCAGAGAATAGAGGAAAAAGGCCAAGGAAGGTCTGTCCATGTTTGGTGTAGTTTTAAAAATATCCATATTTACCCAGAGACTAATTCCTTCAACATCTACTATATACAGAAGTTTCCTGTGTGACCAATGCAACTAACACTGAGTGAAGTCTGTGTATTTGTATGGGGGGGAGGCATATTGGTGCGATGAGAATGTTTCTGATTTTTTTCTTCTCCTGTCTACTTTAAGAATTTCTTCAAAAAATTTCACTCATGTGTTCAGTCAACATTAATTGAATGAGCATCAGTGTGTCCCTAGACTAGGTTATGAAGTCTTAAGTGTTTTAAAGAAATCAACATTTCTAAACTGAAGCATCCGGAGGCCAGTGGAGGCAGAGTACTATGTTCCTAACCTGCCAAAGGCTCCAAATGTGTCTTTAAAGTCTACTATAGCAAGCATGAATGATTAATAAATAAAAGTACCTATTTAGCCAGAGGAGAGTGTGCCCTCCCCATATCCCGTTAGATATGGATAGTGCAATGAAGAGTGGAGACTGGGAGTGGAGATTTCCCAGTATCTCTGGAGTGATGTAGGTTAACTGTGCTCTTGGGGAAGTTGCTCTATCTTTTGAAACTTAGAATCTTGGTATGAAAGGTAAAAAATTATCCCTCCCTCCATTGGGTTCTATAAAGAAAAATGAAAGTAGAAATGTGAAAGTCACTTCATCTTTTCTTTCTAGGCACTCAGCCACCCTCTGCATCTCTGAGAAATTAGCCAGCTGTTTATATGCAAAGCATGTGAGGCACCAAAATCATGATGATGAGGATGAAGGTGTAAGGTGAGTCCCTGGTCATAGTAGTGCTCACTGAGCAAAGGAAGGGCATTGCTCATGCTTTATTTCATCAACTGTAAAACTCCTCACCATAATGAGCATTTTGTATCTTCCCAATAAGGCAGCAAACAAGTTGTATGAGAAGCAGTGTAGCCAAGAAGACAAAGCTGTTGCTTGGTGGAGGGAATCTCTGGATATTACATAATGTTTGAGGAAGACGAAATGACTTTGAGATATCCAAATGACCTTGGAGTTTAGCTATAGTTACAGAATGGGAAGCAGGCCCGAGTGTGAGGGGTGGAGAGTCTGGGTGAAGAGGGAAACAGAAGGGAAGAGAATGTCCATGATGGTGTAGAATGTGCAAGCTTGTGCAAACAGAGTTGGATGAGAGTGTGTAAGTAGTATCAAAGTTTCTTCCTGCTGTGTGATCAAGTTAGCCGTTTGTCCTTCTGAGTCACATCCAGCTTCAATAGAGGTATCAAACAGAAGGGCTCAGTTCTCCTTTGCCACATTCCTGCAGCCTCCTCTGAAGGAATGGAGAAAGAAAGTGCTTGAGGTCAGAAAGGAAACTGAACTTAAAAGATCAGAAAAAAGACAGTAATGGAGGATGAGTAAGGGCCAAAGACAACAGACTCCTCTGCCTTTGAGTTCCAGCTGTACTGGACACTGAAGAGCAGGCCAGTGTCTGATGTGGGTCTCAGTGTGTGGGGACAACATCTCAGCGGTGTATCCTAGACAGGAGAAGGCTCCTCCCTGTTTGTAGTTGCTTCACTTCCCATGGAAATGGTGTTAGCAAGTCTCAGGAGCTGCATGGGAGTGTTGAACAACACAGAGCAGTGCCTGGGAGGACAATAAGATAGGTGTAAAGAGAAAGAAGATGGATAAAAAGGCATCTACTCAGAAAGTGTCCAAGAAACATACAGGCAAGGGAAAATGGAAGAAAAGAGGTGGGAAAAAACAAGAAAAATTATGGGCTTAAACCCTTAAATAGCGATAAATAATCAGACATGGACAGTCTTCACATATAATGGAAAGTGACAGGGATAATCAAACATGGCCAGAGTATTGACTATCTAAGCAAAGAAAATGACTGTGGATAAAGAGGCACATTACATGGGAAGATGGTCATTCACCAGAAAGAGCTGCCAATCTTACATGTGTCCTATGCACCCTTAATAGTCTTTCCAATACAAGGAGAGAGCTTCCAGACTGAATGGAAAGACAGACAGACAGACTCCCAGTGGAGCTGGAGATTTCAGTGCATTTTTCTCTGGAGTTGATAAAATTAGTAGGTGAACAGTGGGCAAGGATGTAGAAGGACCAAATTAGGCTCAATAGAAAAAATTAAGAGAACTGATATTTATACAGGTCAAGAGGAGATCATATATTAAAAAAAAAACTGGAATGGTACTCTAAACAACATCTGTGGCGCCCCATTTCTTAAACTAGCATGGCATATTTATGAAGGTAAATTATTATGCCATCCAATCCACCTTGACAAAAGAAATAAAATCAAACACAGTATGTCTCTGGCCATAAAATCACACTGGAAATCTTACATCGACAGATAATAAAATCTCCAGCTCTTTGGAATCTGAATATCTTATCTCTGGGTTAGAGGCTGCCAGCATCAGTCTACAAACCACGCCCTCCCATTGCAGGTGCCAGGATCCCGTCCCAGGACACAGCCAGGCACCTTCACCCCTTCCTACCTTCTGAACGGCTATGTGGGGTTGCTTTAAGTCCAAATAGAACAAGCAGCCCACGAAGGGCAGGCGCCTCGGCCCTGGCGGGTAGTTTTTGGGGCGCCGGTTTTTGAGGTAGTCAGCCAGAAACAGGAAGGCGACAGCAGCCAGCAGCAGAGTCCGGAGATGGAGCGCAGCCCAGATGGCGGCCACCAGGGAGCCCGCGGCGGCGAGCATGGCTGGCGCTGGAGCTGGCTCTCCTGAGAAATGAGGGTCTGAGCTGGGGCAGATCTCCAGGGTCACCGCCTGTGGTTACCAGAATAGGCCAGCCCCTTGGCTCTGCCCTCCCAGTCCCCAAAAGGACCCCGCCTATCTCTCCCCCCGCGGGCTCCTCACCCAGCTGTGCTCACTGCTGTGTCTCTGGCCTAGCGGCAACCTCCTCCGAAACCTGCTTCTCAGCTTCCTAAGCCAAACCTGAGCCGAACTTTGTGCCCAGTGCCCTTGCACTTTTCTGAGTCTTCTCAAGGTTCCAACCTCGCTGGCTCCACCTCGCCGCTCTCGGTCACGCTCCTTCTCCGAGCCCTCCTGTGGAGAAGCTGTGGCGGACTTCAAGAAGAGGCACTTGAGCGTGTCTGGACTGGCTAAGAGCCTCGCTCATTCAGGAAGTCCTTCCCACTGGCTCTGGGTTTGTGATTTGCATGAATCCCAGAGGACATCGTGGAGGGTCTGAACTCCTGTTTTATAAACAAACTTTCACCAGGGACTGCAACCTTCCTGGGAAATAAGAAAGATAGTGGCACTCACCTCACTTTGACAGTGGTATGCTCGCTGAATAAAAGAATCCACGGATTCTTAGTTCACATTGAAGGAGCATCCCGGTCTGGATTCTTTTTCGTTTGCTTGTTTTGTTTTCGTGTAGTTTTAGGGATTGAAATCCGCCCTTGAGCATGCTAGGCAACCTTTCCATTGCTTCATCAGTTTGTTTTCTTTCTCCCTCCCTATTTACTTTTGAAGTTAGTACATAAATTAATTGATTTGCTTTAGCACTTTCGTGTGTATAGTTTCACGTGTGTGTGTGTGTGTGTGTGTGTGTGTGTGTGTGTGTGTGTGTGTGTGTGTGTGTGTGGTGTGTACACGTATTTCCCCTCTCTCTCCTACAGCTTCCCTACACTGCTGTTGTGGGTCCTGGGCTTCGCAGATTATCCCCCTTCTGCTTGTTGGCTACACGTTTTTTCATTACCCTTTCCCCAACCCCCTTAAAGATCTGTTCCTTCCCTCTCATGGTCCCATTTCACATGCTAGGCTCCGCCCCCATCTACTCATACACAGTTTAATCTAGGTTAGTCCTGCAGAAAACAAGCTGTGTTTGTCTTTCTGCATCTGGTTTGTTTCACTTTACATAATGATCTCCAGCTGGTTTTCATCCAGCTCTTCCAGGGAAACCTCTGAGCACATTGGGTCTCCAGCATGCATGCAACTTTTCACCCTGTGCCAGATATGTGAGATCCTCAAACTGCGAAGCAAACTAGACATACATAGGCACTAAACATGTAGACATGCATTCTAATTACAAAATTTTTGTTGAAAAGAAAAATGATAATTGAAGTTCCTAACTTTCCAAGATCCAAGAAAAAGGGAGACAGATGAATAGGAACAGAGATTTAGTGAAGCTTAGCTTGTATTCTTCCAACCTGTCTTGTTTTTATTTTTTTCTTTTTATTAAAAATAGATTCTTTTCTCACACAATATATCCTAATTATAGCTTCTCCTTCTTCCTCTACTTCTCCCAGTTTCTTTCCACATCCCCTGCCCTCTGGATCCACTCTTTGTCTGTCTCTCATTAGAAAAGAACAGGCTTCTAAGAGATAATAGCCAAACATGACAAAATAAAATAGAATAAGATAAAAATTATCATGTGAAAGTTGAACACAGCAACCCCACAGGAGGAAAAGAGCTATTCATTCTCATAGTCGTAAGTCCCATAAAAATATTAAGCTATGATATGTATGCAGAGGGACCTGGTGCAGACCCATGTAGGTCCTGTGCTTGCTGCCTCAGTCTCTGTGAACTCATATATGCCCTGCTTAGTTGATTCAGAGGTCCTTGTTCTCTGGTTCCTTGTTCACCATCCCCTCTGGCTCTTATACTTTTTCTGCCTCCTCTTCCACATATTCCCTGAGCTCCAAGGGAAGGATTTTGATGGAAACATCCCATTTAGACTCTCTGCACATAATGTGGGTCTTTACATGTGTTCTCATCTGCTGCCAGAGGAATCTTCTCTGATGACAATGAATAAGGTACTGATCTATGAGTTTAGCAAAATATCATTAGGAGTCACTTTATTGATTTTTTTTTTTCAGACCAGTAGTATTGAGTTTTACCCTAGGTCTCTAGGCTATCTAGTCTCTGGTGCATGGTTAACCAAGCAGTGTCAGATATTGGTTCCTTCTTGTGGAGTGGGCTTTAAGTCAAATCAGACATTGGTTCACTACTCCCATAAGTTCTGTGCCACCATTGCCCTAGCATGTTTTGTAGGCAGGACATATTATAGGACAAAGATTTTGTGACTTGTTTGGTGTACATGCTTCTCTTTTGGTAGCCTACAGAGTGTCTTCCCACACCAAAGAGACTAGAATGTAGGGATGAGGTCTCCATGTAGGCACCAGCTTGACTTCTCCATGTTCAATGAGTTGTGTGGGTGTTGTCCTTGGTAAAGAGGTCCCACTATCAGTTTGCAGAGAGCAACCATTTGTCTTACTTAGGAACATCCTGGGTTGTCTATGGACTTCCATGGGACCACCTTGCCTAACAATGCTATTGAATTCAACCCCATCCTACCACTGGAAGCCTTGCTTGGCTACACGAGATGGCCAGTTGAGACTCTGTATCCCCATTACTAGGAGTCCCCATTAGGATCACCTTCACTGATTCCAGAAAGTTTCCACTGTGCTAGATTTGTATGCTATCCCACCAAATGCCCCTCAGTTCCAGCCATCTCCTCCTGAACACTGTCCCCAAACAAATTGTTCCCTCACCTGACCCCCTCCCCAGCTTCTGGCCCCACCTTCCCCAATTTGTCATAAAATCTATTCTCCCCCTCCCAGGGAGATCAATGATTCCCTCCTATACCCCTCCTCTTTACCTAACCTCTGTGGGTCTACAGATTATAGCTTAGTTATCATTTATTTAATGGCTAATATCCACTTATAAGTGAATACATACCATATTTATCTTTCAGGTGGGTCTGGATTATCTCACTCAGGATTATTTTTTTTTCTAGTTCCATCTATTTGCCTACAAATTTCATGATGCCATTCTTTTAACAGCTGAGTAATACTCCATTTTGTAAATTTACCATAATTTTTTTATCCATTCTTTTGTTGAGGGGCATATAGGTTGTTTCTGGTTTCTGGCTATTATGAGTAAAACTACAATAAAAGTGAGCAAGTGTCCTTGTGGTAGGATGAATCATCCTTGGGGCATATGTTCAAGAGTGGTAGAGCTGGGTCTTGAGGTAGATCAATTCACCACTTCCTGAGGAACCACCATATTGCTTTCCATAGTGGCTGTACAAGTTTGCACTCCCATTTGAAATGGAAGTGCATTCCCCTTGCTCCATATCTTCACCAGCATGAGCTGTCACTGGTGTTATTGATTTTAGTCATTCTGAGATGTGTAACATGAAATCTCAAAATAGTTTTGATTTGCATTTCCCTGATGGATAAGAGTGTAGAACATTTAAGTGTTTATCAGTCATTTGAGATTTCTCCATTGAGAATTCTCTGTTTAGATCTGTACCCCATTTTAAATTGAATTATTTGGTTTTTTTTTCCTTTATATAATTTGGAAATCAGTCCTCTGTCAGATGTAGAGGTGCTAAAAATCTTTCCCATTCTGTAGGCTACTGCTTTGTTCTATTGTCCTTGGCCTTGTAAAAGCTTTTCAGTTTCACTAGGTCCCATTTATTAATTGTTGATCTCAGTTCCTACACTATCAGTGTTCTGTTCAGAAATTTATCTCCTGTGTTAATGTGTTCAAGGTTATTTCCCATTTTCTCTTCTATCAGGTTTAGTGTATCTGGTTTTATGTTGAGGTGTTTGATCCACTTGGACTTGAGTTTTGTGGGTATGATAAGCATGGATCTATTTGCATTTTTCTATAAGCAGGCATCATGTTTGACCAACACCACTTGTTGAAAATGCTTTCTTCTTTCCAGTATATATTTCTGGCTTCTTTGTAAAAAATCAGGTGTCCATATGTGTGTAGATTAATATCTGGGTCTTCAATTAGATCCCATTGATCAATGTGTCTGTTTTTAATGCCAACACTATGCATTTTTTATTACTATTGCTCTATAGTATAACTTGAAATTTTTAGAATGGCAGCAGTTTTTTTATTGATCAGGATCATTTAGATATCTTGGGCTTTTTGTTTTTTCATATGAAGTTGAAAATTGTCCTTTCAAGGTGCAAAAAGAATTGTGTTGGAATTTTAATAGTGATTGCATTGACTCTGGAAAGTGCTTTTGGTAGGATAGCCATTCTTACTACGTTAATCCTACTGATCCATGAGCATGGGAGATCTTTCCATCTTCTGATATCTTCTCCAATTTCTTTCTTCAAAGACTTGAAGTTTTTGTCATATAAGTCTTTCACTTGCTTGGTTAGAGTTACCCCAAGATATTTTATGTGTTTGTAAGAGAGTGATAGAGGATTTACACTCCACTTTTGGTAAAATACACTCATTTCCTGTCAGATGGTTTAAACACCATGTACCAAGCAAAAATTAAGAGGGGGTGGTTATTGTGTCCTTCAGGTGACCGTAGCGGAAGAACTGAAGTAGAACTTGATGTTCAACAGAACCAGAGAACCCCAGGCAATTGCTGCTTCAGAGTCCTCCTTTACGGGACTTCTCTGAGACTTTTATTCCAGGATAGCTCAGGGCTCAAGGAAGGGACATAGAATTCTCATCACTCTCACCAGGTGTGCTCAGAGGCAGAAAGTCTCACACCAAATGCGGGCTGTTTGCATAATGCCATTGAATGCCCTACGTCAGGGGAAAGCGAGCATCTTACATGCAGCACTCCTTGGGCAGGAGCAGGCATTCCTCCCAGGGGAGACAACAAGGTGCTATGGGAACAGTGCTCACACAACAGGGAGTGTAGGAAAGTCTATTACATGCAAGCTACAGAAGGGGTACTGGAGCATTTAAAGTAAGTGAGGAACTGTGGTTGGAAATAGCATCACACGATCTTTGTACAGTTCATGCATGGGACGGAGACACTTCTAATCAACTTAGAAAACCAAGGAGATGTAGGTTTAGGTGGGAATTTTCGTTAGGAATCATAGTCAAATACTTCCCAAGTTTCAGTTTCCTTGTGATAGCATGATACTTGGTACTGGGTCCCATTGCATCCCTTGGATCAGAGTGAGGCCTCAGCATTTTTATATTTACCATATTCATTGTGTTGAGTTCAGGCTGGGTGAAGCATTAGATTACTCTGTATTGTGGAAAGAAGTGGCTTCTCAGAATATGCCTTACCCAGAAACTCTCCATTTAACAAGCAGATTGTCTCCACTTTGAGAATAAAAAATGACTGAACACCTGGGTGGATATAATAATAATACCATCTGTCTAGTATCACCTGCACAGCACAGGCTGATAAGTGCCTTATCATTAGGAGTAGGAAGTATTTTATCTTATAAATTGATAAGCATGACTAAAATTGTAAAGGCATACCACAATAACCAGGCCTAGAACCAAGGATAAGGTGTAATTCTCTCATCTGGTTATCATTAAAGTGAAAATAAGTTGGATTTTGGTGATGAAAGCCCTCAATAACTTGTAATTTTACCACCTGGTGGGTGATCAATGAGAGACATCTAGAGATTACCCAGTAACCTAGAAGATTTAGTGTGGTTCAGTCCCACCACCAATATAATCTACTCAAAATGACTTATGTATGTTTGGCCTTTGAAACTGCCTTTTCTCTTTTAGTGACCACATCTACCAGGATCTGGCCCTATTATGCCATTTCCAATACTCTGATATAAAATATTCTGCCAGCGCCCTGTAGTTTCAGACTTGTGATGTGAGCCACTAAAGCATACAGGCTAGTTGTAAGAGATGTTCACACCCTACACACTCTAGTCCTATGTGAAAAGGCAGGGCATAAATGTGTGATGGAAAACGCAAGGCTAGGATACTACCTTCATCCTGTCCCTTCCATGTGAGCAGGCCCCAGAAGCTTGAGAGCACATGTCAGTTCTTCTTGAACTCCTTTCTCTTTCCTTCTTGGACATCACAGTCTGGGGACAGCACAGATGCGGTAGCTGACTGGGGAAAGGGTCAGGCCCATTCTGAACTTCATACTCAGATTCTCATTGACTGGAGGCTTGAAGGTAAATTTTTGCAAAAGAGCAGTGAAGAAAATGAACAGCTCAGACATGGCCAGTTGTTCTCCAGGGCAAGCTCGCTTTCCTGTGGGACCAAAACAGAAGACCCGTCATTTTCTCAGCTGGAGTTAGTGGCTCCAGGGACTAATATCTCAGGTACCTGCTTCAAGTTGACCATGAAATTTATATTTAGCTGCTTATTTATGTCTGGCATCTGTTTTGCACACAATCTGGAAGCCCTAAATTGCAAATCAAATGCCTTCATGGGCAGGCAGCTCTTGGTGAGAGCAGTGTGTAGGAAGGTAGAAGTGGGAGTTCAGGAGTGACTCAGTCTAAAAGCTTTCAAAACTCAGTTAACAAACATCACTGATACAATTGACCATGGTTCAGCTGCTAAATTACTGATGCTTTTCAACCCACACAATGAAACACAAACAAGTAAGTGTGTCAGCAAAATATGCCTAAAGTAAAAGTCATTTTTCTCCTATGCCCACCATCCTCTTCCACGTTGATTGATGTCAGTGACATTGATGGCCATCCTTTCTGCAGAGTGGTGCTATAAAAGGGATTGAAGAGAGGAAATCAGGACATTGCAGGTGTTGAGCCAAGGGTGAGTATAGAAGTGCCTGACCCCTCTTGGGCCAGACAACTACACTAGCTGATCTCCACTGATATATAGGATGGAATTGTTCTACAGAAAGGCTAGAGAATGCAGGTGGGAGTAGGAACAACCTTACCCCAAGAATTCTCCATTATTTATCCTACTTTTCTTTTGGAGTTGTGATAAACTGGCTCTAAAGTTTCTCTGAAGTCACCACTCAGTTGCTTCCATAAACACTGGGGAAAATTTGATCGGCAGAGACACAGATTACAGAACCCAGTGTCTTTCTGCCATGAGGCAATGGCTTCAATATCTCCTGAGATACTGTCCTTTCAGGAGATGGTGGAAGAATTTGGACCAAATTATATTCACAGAGCCTTCTTGTTAGTAGAGCCTAAGGAGAAACAGGGCTTATGGGAATCAAGGGTCAAATCTCTGAATTCCTCTGAGCTAATGGTCATTTGCCAGAGAGAAAGTAAACCTCCTCCATAACTTGATCTCTTTATAGGAGGGAAGGTACTTATTAAGGTTTCAGGTTGTTGGCATTCATTTTCAGACATGGGTTTTACAGCTATTGGTTGTTGCAAATTTATTGTGGAAAGTCAGACACTGGTAAAGGCAGATATCCCTGACAACTTAATCCTGCTTGATCACGAATGCAGATTGTCATCTATCCTATGACCTTATAAAGTTTAAAGAAATTAGAGGATGGTCTTTGAAAATCAAGCATTCTGTCTCTTAGAACATTTTTAATAGGAAAAACAAAACTAAATGTCATGAATGGTGAGGAGTCATCTGTTTGTTTTAGTTCAGGGAAGCCATGGAGACTCCACTAGCCAGTTTCTAGTTTAAAAATATAAGGGTCAACACAGAGGAAAAATTTCCTCCATGCTTCCAAGCAAAGCAACAGTCGAGCAAGGCCTTTGACTCATCCTCACATAGACTCTATACTCAAGCGAACATATTAGATGTTATTTAGACAACCATTTCTCACCAATGATTCTCTCCTTGTTAAGAAAACTAACACCCAGATAAAGGACATCATGACTTTGGCTCAGTTCAACACTGCAATATCTATGTATAGCCAGGAAAATTTGGCCCATCTTCTTGAATGCCAAAGTCAAATGTAAAAATATTGTTTATTATTATTATTATTATTATTATTATTATTATTATTATTACTACTACTAATTATTTACCAACTATGGAACACTTTTTGGAAAGAGAAATTCTCACAACTGTAAAATGTCCTTGTTTTCCCTAAGCACCCTAACTGCCCATGTTCTCTGATTTTTAAAAAGCTACCCTGCTATCAAACTCACAGGTCTGGGGAAATTATTTGGGATCTCTGACTGATGTCCGTGGGGCTCTTGGGATATCTTACAATACCTGTAGGATGCATTTCTCCTATAGATCGGAAATTAGGTACAGATGTCTGGTTGTGCACTCAACAGGAATGGAATCTCATTCATGGGCAGGAAGGCATTGACTTCTGTCAATGATTCCTCTTGAAAAGTTTCTAGGCATCTGATGCTTTATACAGAAGTCTAGTGTAATGAACAACTGATTGAAGTTACACTTTGATCTGTCAAGTAAACCTTATGTCAGTCTAAATATGGAGAAGACCATATCTATGACCTTGCCCTTCTATAGGGCTCTAGTGAATGGTCCAGCCAGTTACACCATTACATTTCACTTTACTGAAATATTTACATTACTCATGATGTTAAGGAATTTCCCTCATTAACTTTGTTTCTGGATGTTCTCCATAAAGTTAAGATACAAGAAAGCTAATTGTCAACTTCTCAACTTAAACTGGCTAATGAGAAGTTTCTCAGTTCTTGAGCCAGGCTAATGGCCTCCTCCATGTTGTATTCCTTGCAGCAGACAATATTGGCAAAGAAACCAGTCTTGATGACATTTATGACAGAGGTTGCTAAGGAATTTTTGGATGGTATTCTTGCCTGGTCTCCTCTTCTAATAAGGGCAAAACTGCCTTGATGATTTGCTTAATGACACTCTCTGTAGGAATTATGACCACACTAACTGTCTTGCTTTGTGCATGCTATAGTTGCTGCCTCACCCACATAGCATGCTCCAGTATCACACACTCTCATCAAATGACTGCATTATGTTCTGGATCTTCACCATCAGTTAAGTTTTATCCTGGCCTCCTAGGTTACTCTCCTCCAGGGCACTCTGACTGCAGGCCTTTTCTCCATTTCTCCTTCTGTCAGGTCAAAGAAGTTAGAGTGGCCTGTGCCCCCAAACTCCTAACTGTAGCTAAGGTGACCTCTGAGATGGCAGAATTAGGGGCTAGAAGTTAGACAAATCCCTGAAAGGCAGGGAGGCAGGCAGGCTGGCAGCCAAAGGGACCACTGATGGATAATAAAGATGCCAAACTTTTAGCTTCTTCTGCACCCTTCTGTGTTGTGGGATTTTTTTTTTCATTTTTCTTTATTAAGAAATTTTCTACTCACTCCACATACTATCCACAGATCCCCCCTCCTCCCTCCTCCCACCCCCAGCACTCTTTCCCAAGCCACCCTGCTATGGGATGGTCTGTATGTCAAATGTGTTGCTGATTGGTCAATGAATAAATCACTGATTGGCAGTGGCCAGGCAGGAAGTATAGGCGGGACTAACAGAGAGGAAAATTGAGAGGACAGAAAGCTGGGAGGGGAGACACTGCCAGCCGCCATCAGGACAAGGAAGATGTAAAGTACCGGTAAGCCACAAGCCACGTGGCAAGGTATAGATTAATAGAAATGGATTAATTTAAGCTGTAAGAACAGTTAGCAAGAAGCCTGCCACGGCCATACAGTTTAAAACCAATATGAGTGTCTGTGTTTACTTGATCGGGTTTGAGCGGCTTGGGACTGGTGGGTGAGAGAGATTTGTCCTGACTGTGGGCCAGGCAGAAAAACTCTAGCTACACCACCCCACATCCCCACATCCCCAAAATCGAGGTCTCCCATGGGGAGTCACAGAGCCCAGCACACTGAACCTAGGCAGGTCCAAGCCCCTTCCCACTGCACCAAGGCTTTGCAAGGTGTCATACCACAGGCACCGGATTCCAGAAGCCTGCCCATAGACCAGGGACAGATCGTTGTGGGATATTTTGATCACACTATGATACTCCCAGGACTGACAATAAAGTTAAACCTTGAATCAGAGGGCAGAGTCAACATTCAGATGGCCAGCATTAACCACAGAGTTTTTGGTGGACCCAGGTTAGGCTAGAGAGACACAGGAAGGAATCAGGAGGGACTTAGAAAGATTTGCAGACCTTTTTGATCTGAAATTGTAGAGAGGCAGAGTTAGATAATCGTTCCTCCATTGCTCTTTGGATCTATCAGACTTTTACCCCATTATCTGACTCCCAAGTTTTATTTAATAATAGAACAATGTAAGTAATCAGTTCATCTGGAGCTTCACTTCTGACCTGAGACAAAGGCCTGGCAGCTTTATATAAAGGCTTGGGTGTAGTAACCACAACCCCTGCAGACTTAGAGGTCCTGGCTGCAAAGATAAGCCAGACATGTTTGCCCAAAGTTACAAGTCGCCATTCATATCTTTATTGCAACTGAGCAATCCTAAATTAGGGGAAGAGGACTCCATTCCAGACCACAAAAGGCCCTTAAACTTCCAGCCTTCCTATAAAGGCTAGACTTCAGTTTCCCAAGCACCTCCACCCATTTACTTTGTAGGGAATTTTCTTTCAATTTGCCTTACTGTGTGTCTGTGTTTCTTCTCCTATAATAAAAATATTTATTTCATTAGCCTCCTATGCTAGAGATATTACCTGATGCTATCCATTGTGTGATTTTTTTCTTGCCTTTTAATTTCTTATTTGTACCCAATCCAGACCAATAAAAAGTAGCAATGTTTGTCTTTTTAAACCATTTTTAACTTCTTTTAATGGTGTTTTGCCTGCGTGTATGCCTGTGTGAGGGTGTTGGATTCTCTGGAACTGGCTTTACAGACAATAGTGAGCAGCCATGTAGGTGCTGGCTGAACCTGGGTCCTCTGGAAGAGCAGCCAGTGCTCCTAACTGCTGAGCCATATTTCTAGTACCACAATGTTTATCTTTTAAAGGCTCACACATAACTATGGTCCAACTTCAACTCCTCTCTAGGCTCTTCATGAATTTTCCCTGAGGGAGTATCTGCTTCAAGCCTTTGCCCTGCAGTACCACACATAATTACTACATCAATGTCTCTTATGTACATTGCTAACAGCTTCCATCATTCTTAAGTGATGTGTAGTCACTATTACAAATTGTCCAAAAGGAAAGCATAAAGAAGAATATTAAATCTGCCTACAGTTCCAGTCTAAACAAAACCGTGAGCATGAGGACATCAGAGCTCAGTGTTCTTGTACAGATTCTCTTGAACCTCATGGCAGCCATTATGCAATGTCAACTCTAAAGCTGCTTGTCCACCTTTGTTTATAACTATGAAATTAAATAATATTTCAAAATT